AAAACTTCTCCTCGAAGGTTAGTCTGCACTTTTTTTCTGGCGATTTTGTTATAATCAAAATTAGTAACTTAGTCAAGCTTGCAGATGGTCGAAAATGTTGGTAATTTAATCGAATTCCTTTTATTCCAAATAAAGTAACATTTTGTCCCTCTTAATGAAAAATATTATTACAATTTTGCACGAAAGAAATTGTTACTATTTTTTTCGGAAATGATGTGACGAAAGCCCAAAATTGCGCTCTAAGTAAAATGTGAGAAATGTATAATAGGGTACGATAGCGTGCAGCGAAGTTTTGTAGATGCAAATTGCACAAAGAGCAGAAAAAAATAAACACCTCCTTTTTGTAACCTTTTAAAAATAATAAGACAAGATCACGACATTATAAACGTTTTGCGTTTAGTTTCGGGCAAATTTTTAATTTCTATATCGGTAACTTTTAATCAATTGAATTGCGTGAGAAATTTTAGGGTAGGTATGCAGTACACCTTCAAATTTGAGCACGCCTCGGTTTTAAATTCCGTGAACTACTCCACATGATGCCTATAATTGCAACACGTTTATAAACAAAAGTCATTGGGATATATTTGACAAAATAATACAGTAACGACCGGAGATTTCAACGATGGGTAAGAAAAGAGTCTCTTTGAATTCTGTAATTATTAGTGTAGATATCTTGGCCATCTAAAATATTGATTAAATAGTATGCGAAAAGTATTTCTTTGTGCATCTAAATTGATGTTCTTGTGCTATTTTTTAAAGCATAAAAGAGCGAAAGACGTCACAGGTTGCTTTCAAGTTCAATGGATATATGGACTAATTAATAGTGCCTTGGTTCTGGTCAGCTGGGCATGGGGAATTAGTGGGCGAATTTTTTCGGAAACCACTGCTCTAATAAACTTTTGATAAAAATTAACTTAAACTTAGGTTAACTCTCACCTCTGTTGGTACCGTCCATTTCCTATATAAATATGTATTGTAAAAATAGTTCAGAAGTTTCTTCCCGATCACGATTAATGTGGGCAGTTATACAGGGTGTTAATTAATTGAGTGTCGATAATACAGGGTGTGAAACCTCGGGTGATCTTAAGGAGAAAAGTTTATATCAACATACGCCCTAAACCTCTTAGTTTTTGAGCTACATGGTGTTAAAATTTTGTTATCACTCTTAGATATTTATATGAAATTTTGTACACACCTTTTCATCATTCAGGAGCACCCTGTATACAGTGTCCCGTCGTTTCTTGTAAAAGACAAAAAATTTTGAATTGAATTTTGAGCTTCTGGGGATCAACCCTGATTGGTTGGAAAATAATTTGTGACATAATTTTTGTTTGAAAAAATCAAGTATGCCTTAGAAATTTTCAAAAAAACGTTTTCTGGATACCAGTGGGAATCTTTGGGAACGAGATACGCACATAAATATTATTAAGAAAAGTTGTTCAGAATCAAAAACTGAGTAAACGTGTAAAATAAAATTAAAGCGAGGGATAATAAATAAATAAATTGCAATTATTATTACGCTAATATTTATTTAATTTTAAAAGGCCACCGACTGTAGGCGAACTACCCCAAATTCGTCGCATCTCTCAAGGGTGTCTTGTAGAGCTCAAAAAGTAGCAATTTTTGTATCTGCCCGAATAACACTAGAAAAAAAATCGGTAAATTTCGGTTTTTCTGGTATATATCTTCGGAAATCATCTGAATTTTCTGGTTTCCTTTAAAATATGATAATAACTCTTTAATAGCGCATCTTTTCCCTAATTTGACCATATTCGTATCTTCTATGGTTTCCGAGATCCCCATGATAGACATCCTTATCTTCGACACAGTGTATACAGGGTGAGTTTGTTCACTTTCACTATGGGATCTCGTAAACCGTAAAAGATACAAAGTCGTTGTGTGATCAAAACTCTCTAAACCTTCCCCATATAGTTTTTATTCGTTGAAGTTTTTTAAAAATAAAAGCGACTATAGTTTCGGCGTACTGCCATCATCAGGCGATGTAAAATTTAACAGGAAAACGGTAAGTTACAAACGTTTGAAGACGAATAAGACGAACATGTTTTCCTGTTAAATTTTACATCGCCTGATGATGGCAGTACGCCGAAACTATAGTCGCCTTTATTTTTAAAAAACTTCAACGAATAAAAACTATATGGGGAAGGTTTAGAGAGTTTTGATGATCACACAATATATTTCAACCCCCATTTCGAGGAACGATGGATCCAACCCAAAAAAAAAACAAAAAAAAAAGATACAAAGTCGATTAAATGGGCTAAGTTATGCAGAATTTTATGCTGATTACTTTTCCCCTTGTTCTTTGTAACTCTACAAATAGCGAATTTACTTCCAGTCAAAAATTCAAAAACATCATTTTAAAAATGCTTTATTTTAGCACCATCAGAAAGCTGAGAAAGAATCCCTAACAGTTTGTTCAAATTATTTTTTGATATCTTTGAAAGTAAATGAACCGCAGCACATTTTCGAAAATGACACTTTTGAAATTCTACATAACTTTTCCCATTTAAGCGTACTCCTTACAGTTTACGATATCTCCATACTGAGAGTCAACTAAAAACTCACCCTGTATATACTTCCACTTGTTATGAGCCGTCGATATTATGAATTAGCACAAATCTAGCATCAATCGAATACAAGATGTCGTCGTACAACCGTCAACAATGAACATGGTTGTTAAAAAGCACCATGTCATTTCGCCGAATTTAATTTGTACATTATCATCGTCTTCAACACAAAATTTCGTCGTTCTTGTCGCTGCAAATCATCGCCTTCGTCGTTTAATCAACCAACAATCTACGTTTTCGCTCCCGAAAAAGACAACCATCGCCATCATCCCTTATCGCCTTCGTTTGTTTATTGCGTCTTCATCCAAGAAGACCTACTTCGAAGCAACAACAAGTAAGTCCTTTTCGCTCATATTCCTTTCGTACCTGTTCCGTATCGACTCGCCAAACAAGATTTAAAATCAATTTACTATATTTGCATTTTCTAATCAATAAACATGTTAATCATTAGTGTCAATAATCGTTCAACATCTCTCTTATACACATAGAGTCCACAAAAAATATGGAGGTTTCGCTTCACACGCAACATAGTCTCAGTAGAGAGATCTCGAACCCTCTCACAGACGGATGAGTTTCGTGCAGATATTAAGCATATTTTTCATGAAAAAGATTTCTGTGAAAAGATTTTTAAGGTTTTTTGTTTAAATTTTTTGAAAAAAATGTCTGAATTTATCAGATTTCTAAGAAAGTTTACTGTGTAAGTTTTAGGATGTTCTTTCTAAAAAGATTTCTAGGAAAATTTCCTAAATTTCTTGATGCGAATATTTACAATTCTTCTAAGATTTAAAAAAAAAATCAAAAATTGCGATTTCAAAGATTCCTTCTCAGACATGTAGGATTATTTTGAAACGTTATTTTCAAAAAAGTTTCCAAATAAATTTCCAGAGTTTTCGATGACCCAAAAATTTTCCTGGGAATACTTTTAATGGCACTGCTAGGAATATTTAAAAAAATGTTTCTAATGGGATTTCCAAGATATTCGAGTGTTTCAAAAAGAAAAATTAGGAAGCTCTAGGTACCCTAAAGAAAGGAGATTCCCAAGATTCTTCTAAGCGGTTTCACCTAGGACTATTTTTTAATTCCTTTCCGATTATTCTTTAAACTCATCAGGTTTAACGAAATCTTCTAACAATTTTTCTAGAATCTCTGTTGAAGCTTGAACTGTAATTATAACATTTACGGATCGCCTTAAAACCTTTCCTTTTAAGTTAGCAGCAAATCTTGGAAAACTTCATCACGTTTTATTTGGGACCACCTGAACTGTCAACAGTTTGCAAATTGGGCGTAAGATCGTTTAGTTGAGGATGCCGAATTTTACAATAAAAAAACATCTTTTCGGGCGAGCACATTTCCACCTCGATGGTTATGTTAAGATTCGGTAAACTCTCCTTTCGGTAAAGTGTGATTCGGTAAAACTGCTTTTCGGTAAATTGAAATTCGACGTATTGTTCTTTCGGTATATTGCCATTGTCGG